ACTTCCAACAGGATAATGCGCCATGTCATAAAGGGTGAATTATCTCAGACTGATTTGTTGAAGATGACAATGAGTTCACTGTACTCAAATGACCCCTACAGTCACCAGATCTCAATCCAAGAGAGCACCATTGGGATGTGGTGGAATGGGAGATTTGCATCATGGACGTGCATCCGACAAATCTGCAGCAACTGCGTGATGCTAACATGTCAATATGGACCAGAATCTCTGAAAAATATTTTCAGTACCTTGTTGAATCTATGCAACGAAGGATTAAGGCAGTTCTGAAGGCAAAAGTTGGTCCAAACCAGTACAGGTAAGGTGTACCTAATAAAGTGTCTGGTGAGTATTTTGGTGCATTTAAACAAAATGCAGTTTTGTTTTACAGTTAGATCCATTCCATTAAAAGTGTGGTCACCTAACATAGTAAGAAATAATAAGGTTATATATTTAAAAACTACAAACTTTTTTGAATGTTTCTCTTGGTTTTTCCTGTTTAAAATATTATTTAATATTTTCTCCCAACATAGTAATTTGAGTCTACTATTTGTTGGACTGTGATCTTAGTTTTTTTTTTTTGTTAGATTAGTTCAAGATTTGGATTTAGTACTGGCTAATTAATGTTTATACATAAACATATGATTGTAAAGCATGATATAGAAAATATTAATTTAAAAGAGAGATCTGTGAGGGGTGTACTTGTTTATGCTGGGCACTGTATATAATATTTAAATACAAATATATAGCTGCCTTTGAATAAGAAGGCTAGGATATTGTCTATTGTTTACTGTTTATAACTGTTTTTGTACCTTTAACAGTGAGCATATATGATAATAAAATACTAAATACACTAGCCAACACTAATGTCTAGAAAAGCAGATAAAGGTGTAAGACGTACTTAAGTGAATGGGTGAAGGCATCCATGTTGAACCCAGGAATTCGTTCCACCAACTGCTGTTCCAGATGCTTCTCTAGGATTTCAATCTAACAGAATTTTATAAAAGAGTTTATTAAAATCTCAAGAAGAGCCATAAATTAGTGAAAAAAACAAATAAATTAGGTACCACATACATATTCGTTAAAAATGGGTGTATAGCTGAGCTTGTTCTCCTCTGAGTCATCAAACTCAAGGTAATATTTCTCCATAAAAGACTGTTGAAGATGCTGGAACTCATCCTCTGTAAGAAAAATTGGATAAGTAATTAACAATTCATTCGCGTTGTTTAAATGACAACATTTTTATTCGAAACGGCAGAAATGCATTCAGAATAAAACTAAAATCATAATTTACTTAAACACTATAAGTTGCAAATCCAAAGCTGTATGTACTCTGGCCAGTAAGAATTGGTTTGTTTTATAAAATCATTTGCACAATTTACTTCCAAGCTCAGTTCACAATGTTTTTAATTTCGCTAACACAACCGATGTATCCGTCATGACAGCCAGGTCACGATCGGCCTGAGATTTCTGTTTTTCCGCACCTGTTCTACGAGCTCTAGTGAAAAACTCACACTGCAAGATGTTTGGACATACTTAGAGTGTCAATTTCGATCGGAGTTGGTTAAGTTTACAAGGGTATTATAACTTTATTGGTGAGCGGATTGTTAGAGCGAATCAACCAGCCATCCTCGTCAAAGCCACATGGCTTCTCTTGCACAATTTACTAATTAGTTCACCTGTACTAATTAAATGATGCCCACAAATTAAGAGATTAGTTCCCACGACTATAAATTGTACAATAAAAACAATAATTGAACTGCTTTGTTTTCTTGTTTTAACAACAACAAAATAACTACACAGTAAAAAGTGCTGAATTCCACACAATGGAACACAAATTGATTAAGTTAAAGTAATCATTATTACAAATTTATGTGGCTTAAATATAAAACAATTAAGTTGTACCCAAAAAACTTAAGAATTGTGTTGTTTCAACTCAACAAGCAATTTGAACAAGCAACAATCTAACTAATTATTGTAAATGTTTATACTGTGCTCGGTTTTTCCAAGAAAACTAATAAAACTTGCTGACATTATTAGCAAGTCGTGGAATCAATGCTGTTCCCTAGGTTTAATTACAATAAAAAACTATTTCAATCAATGTTGCACATTGAATGAGAAAACGAATCAGTTTTTACTTAAAATGAGGGAGTGATTAAGAAATTAAACACTCATTAGTATGAATTTGTTCCTTCATGTCATATGTAAATCGATGTACAAACCATAAGAAATAAAACTGCATTTTGGATATTAGAAATTACTTAAGAACATTTCCAATCATTACTAAGTGGCACACTTTTTTTTTTCACAGATTATGTAAGAATCACCCTTGTTTCAGATTATTTCTAATAGATTATGAGATGATTTAATATAGTAATTAATAGATGAATACCCATTATAATGTCCTCGATGTTCCCAATTACTATGTCAAATTCTGCATCAGCATCTGATGATCTGGAGAGAGAAAATATTATGATTAATAAATTAAAAAGAGTGTAAATTTGACAGAGCTGTACATTTTAAATTTAAGAAAACGAACTATATAACTCACTTTGAAACAGAAAAGTCCTCTTCATCCAAGCTCTGCATGTCAACCATGTTCTCGTTGCCGCCCAGCAGATCTGGGTTTTGTAGAAAAGTGAGATAAAATAATGTAAATAAACATTTTATAAGCAACAGCCACAATTTTAAATACTCGTTGAAAAGACCGAGAAACTACTCGGGCAGATTTGATAACGCTAGCTAGTAGTAGTGCAGGTGCACGGCTGTCGCATGGGAGCGAGCTTTAAACAGCGCGTGATCATGCGGCTGGTTTTGCGGCCTGTGAGCTAGGGTAGATTATTTTTAATTCGAGAGTTTGTGACTATTTTAAAATATTTAATTACCCGACTCTCGAGCATCCATCATTAATCGCCCGACGTCCTTCCTGAAGTCGCTGCTGCCACGGCAACAAGAGCACGCGTACATGCTTAAAACGCGTCCGGTTGAAACAAGTCTCATTTCATTTGGTTCCGCTTGTTTGAGTCTTAGAGCTACACGACAACAGACAGACAGAAGGATCGTTAAAACTATCGTTTTAATGACGTTAGCTGGCAAGTGTTTAAAGTTTACAAAAGTAAATAATTTGACAGAATTATATAATGAGGCACCACACAGAAAATAAATCAAATTTGTTGTGGTTTTAAAGGGATAGTTCACCCAAAAATGAAAATTTACGTATTTGCTAATTCTTTATTTGTTACACACTTTTATAAGTTCCTTTCCTCAGTTAAACGCAAAATCAAAATTTTTGATCAAAATCTTAAGCTAGAAAGAAAGCTGAAAACATGAAAACATTGACTTTCATGGCAAGAAAAACAAATGCTGTGATGGTCAATGGTTATCGTTACATGTTTTCAGTATTTTTCAAAATATCTTTTGTGTTTTAAACAGGTAAAGGGTGATTAAATTCATTTATTCATTCTTTTTTTTTTTGGCTTAGTCTCTTTATTAATCTAGGATCGCCACAGCGGATTATGCAGCAGATGCCCTTCCAACTGTAACCCATCTCTGGGAAACCTACATACACTCATTCACACGCATTCACTATGGACAATTTAGCCGACCCAATTCACTTGTACCCCATGTTTTTGGTCTGTGGGGAAAAAACCCACGCAAATGCAGGGAAAACATGCAAACTCCACCCAGAAACGCCAACTGACCCAGCCGAGGCTCGAACCAGCAACCTTCTTGCAGTGAGGCGACAGCACTACCTACCGGTGAGTAAATTGTGACAGATTATTCTGTTTTGGGTAAACTATCCCTTTAAAACTTACTTGCTTTTTATTAATGCATATTGATGGTGTCTATTAATTTAATTTACCATATTGTACAGTCTATAGTAGACTCTATTGTGTTAGGAGGACACTGTATTGTGTGTTTGTGAAACAAAATCGTCAGATATCTAATTTGTTTCCCCAGACAACATTATTTTAAAAACATAATTATGCCCATATCTGCTGTTACAGAACCCTGCTGGAGCCATCACTAAAATCTAGATATTCAATCATGCACTGTGCAACTATAACATATGATAAAACAAATAATATTAAGCTGTTTTTGTGAAACAAACTATATACATGGTTAGTTTTCCGAGGCTCTACATTATTTATTTACAATGCAAATGTTCAATCATATACAGTACAATAATAAAGTAATAAATAAATAATAACTGCAAAATTGTGAAGCAAAATACACAAGTAGTTAATATAAATATGACCTATTATGTAAACGTTCAAGTCTTTTTACAGTCTATGGGTTAAATACTATAAGCCATGCATGCATACCACTAAATATTTACACTAAGGAATAATTACACAAAGCAAAACTGCCATGTCATTATGTACTTTTATGTTTTAGTTTGCTTTATTTAGGTAACATTTTATGCAATGTTAAAATGCTATTTTTTAGACATGTATGTAACATTGAGCCAGAACATATTTTATTTCAGAATATATTTAAATGTAAAACAACTTCAGATAATCTAACAAACCAATCTTTAGCACACAGACCGCTTAATTTTATTCCAATGTAAAGTAAAACACAGTAAAATTCATAATTGTGTAAATTTGACTGTGCTGTACTGTATTGTACTGACTGTCCCCTTTTAGAAAACGCTTTTTGAGCTGTGAGCTTTACATGAAAACTAAGATTTGTAAACAACAACACATGATTATCTGCATGGTAACGAAAAACTGTATATACAATCTAGGGAGATATTGTTTTTACTTAACCAATGATACATTATGTTGTTTATTATTCTTTAAGGTTTACATATTTAATATGGCAGCCGCCTAACAACTTTATTTTAAAACAAATCTTGTTATTTGTCACGCACATGACGTCAGCCGGCGTCGGCCCGTGACGCTGCGTCTCTTTGTTGGCCCAGCAGCAGCGTCGCTCCTCTGTTGTTGTTTTCTCTGCTGCTGGAAAAACTGGAATGCTAACGAGCTAAAGAAGTATTCTCGTTTGCTTCTGCTCTCCCCGCCAAAAGACGAACACCAAACTCGCCCCTGCTTGGCGTGTCGTTATACGGTAAGCGCGACCCAGTCATGGACTCGGACGAGGGTTACAATTACGAATTCGACGACGAGGAAGAGGAATGCAGCGAAGACAGCGGCGAAGAGGAGACCGCGGACGACACCCTGGAGCTCGGCGAGGTGGAGTTGGTTGATCCCGTTGTGGCCGGCGGAGAGCGAGACGACTGCGGGGAGACCGGGGGTAGCGGCCTCGGGCCCGGGCAGGACGAGGAAGACTACCGCTTTGAAGTTCTTACTGCCGAGCAGATCCTGCAGCATATGGTGGAGTGTATCCGGGAGGTCAACGAGGTCATCCAGGTAAGAGTTTTCAGGGCATCCCTTCGGCTCAGATCGGCCCGGATTAGCCGTTTTAACAAGTGAAAGATATCTACGCGGTTCTGGGAAACTTTACCCCCCGTTGACAACACGAGAGGCGTGAATAAGGACATCGGCTCTGCTTTGAAACAAACTTCTATTAAAAAACTATAGCTGTTATGCCTAGACTATAAATATATAGTCACGGCCACAGCTGTGAAGGAGTAGGTTTACGTCAATCCAGCCTTTTCAATGTCCTCAACGCGTCCAGTAATGACATAAGATGCTTATCCAGCTTCTGGTTCACCTGCATACAAAACCATACCCCTGAGTCCCATTTTAATATGCTTTATTAAAATAAAAGTAATTCCTGTTACAAGCACATATCTCAATGTGGGCATATAGTAACGAGGGTCGTGTCTAAAGAACAGTAATAGTATTTAAAAGCACTCCATTTAATACAACCCTCCTGTTCCTGTTCACACTAGCTAAGTAAGCTAACCATGAGCTAACAGTTTAAGTACATCAGCAGAGAGACTATATTCCGATGTGGTCATGTGTTTCGTATGTATTCACAGTTGGTTGTTGACAGTCCAGTGAAAAAGATGTCGTCCTCTTCACTATCTTTTTAGCTTAGAGATATGAGCTAGGTAGCGTTAGCATTTGAGAGTTACCTAGTTTCTCCCCACAACAACATGGCGGAACCGATGCTTCATCATGGCTGGTTATGTTTGATTAAACAGCACTAAAATAGCCTTCAAAGTGAATTTGAGAAAAGATTAATGATTGCTTTCTGGTGCCGAGTCGTAGCCACAGGCTGTCTCGTAAAGCTCGGCGATTCCACTCTGCCCGACGCAGTTTGATTCTTTGGTTTTGTTCCTGCTCGTTCATTTTCAGATTTTGCGTTAATATATTAGATTTGCACAGTCTATGCCGTCAGCAAATGTCTTTAATTATATTTACGTACTGTTCATGTGATTACTAAAAGTGACTGATGCTTTTATACTGGTTAAACCAATGTATCTGTTTGTGCACATTATTATATTAGAGTATGAGTTGTGTATTTGTCCCAGTATAGTCATACCTAATAACCATTTAATTTAAACCCAATGAAGACCTGGATGTAATCAAATCGGGGTAGCTGGAGATTCAGAAGGTTATGCAGGTTATCTCTTCCTACATATTTCTGGGCTGCTTGTCATGTTTGCACTTTGACATCTTCTTCCAGATAACCTTTTTAAAGGACTGTAGTACAAGCTTTGTCTCCCTGGCAGACAAAAATAAAGTCTGTTGTCTAAACACTGGGAATTGTGTCATTACTGCTTTGAAGGTCCTTCATGTCTCAAACTCTGTTAGCAGTTATTTAGGTGGTAATTTGCCACTTAATAATGACAGTAAACAGGAACTTGCAAGAAATTAATTCAACCATGATTTACATAAACCACTGTGTATATATAAACACATACTTGTATAAATTTTATAAAATTATACATGTATAAACCACCCGTACAAAAGCTCAATTTGATTCATAAAAAGACCTAAAGTATGTATTAAAAACTTCCCTTAAGGAAGGCATTTAAAGTGGTTTTTGGTCTAAATATGTGACAGTTTTTTATTGGTATATAAATTGTTACAGTGAATGACATTTTGGAGAATGTCTTCTGTAATTTATTGTAAAAATGTATGTTTTATTAATTTTATTTTTTACTCAATGGAAAACACAAGTGATCAAATTATAATGTGCAAATATATTTTGTATACAAATGTTATACAAATGTGTGTGTGTGTGTGTATGTATATATATATATATATATATATATATATATATATATATATATATATATATATATATATATAAACAAAAACATTGGTTGCTAGTGTGCTTGCTTTGTCTAAAATAATTTGGGCCCATTTCTCCTCTTTCAGAATCCTGCTACCATCACTAGAATATTACTTAGTCATTTCAACTGGGACAAGGAAAAGCTGATGGAAAGGTAATGGTTCTGTATTCTGTTTCCTCCCCACATATTTACACTTGCAACTGTTTTAATTCAATGCCAAACCAGAACATTTTGACAAGAATCTACTGTTTATCTCTTTGCAGGTACTTTGATGGTAACCTGGACAAGCTGTTTTCAGAGTGTCACGTTATAAACCCCAGCAAGAAATCTCGGACACGCCTCATGAACACAAGATCGTCGGCACAGGACATGCCATGTCAGATCTGCTATCTCAACTATCCTAACTCGGTCAGTGCCCCCCAGCGGAATCGCTTTCATTGCATCTGATTAATCCATTTTCATGACTGCTGTGCTGATAGCTTATTAGCAGGCTCACGCGGAATCTGTGCCCACAAATGAAACGGCCATTATTCACAGTTCTGCACATCCTTCATCCTGAAATGTGCTTCATTAGACATTTTGAGTAATTTGCTCATTTCAGCTAATATAATATTTGTCATTCTGAGCTGTCAAATGTTTGGGCTTAGTAAAAAGTTTTTGTGTGATATATTTGGAAGAAGTCTTCTATGGTCATCAACAGGGTAGTGCTATTTTAAAATGAAATAAATACAAATGCTGAATTTTCTGATGGGTTTTTAGAAACCAATTGGCTGATTTGGTGCTTTAGAAACATTTCTTATCACAGTTGTACTGCTTAATATTTTGTGGAAATCCGGATGATATTTTATTCTTATCATAAAGCAACCTTGCCAAATTTGCTCACACTTTACAATAAGGTTTCATTAGTTAACGTTAAATAATGTATTTACTAGCATTATCTAATAATGAACACTACTTGTATGGCATTTATTAATTGTAGTTCAACATTTACTAATGCATTATTAATATCAAAATATCATGCTTGTTAACATTAGTTAATGCACCATGAGTCAACATGAACTGGCAATGAACTACTGTATTTTGTAACGGTAACTAACATGAACAAATACTGAAGTGAAAGTATTGTTCATTGTTTGTTTGTGTCTGACTCTACAATGCATTAACTAATACAACCTTATTGTAAAGTGTTACCCTAATTTCTTTTAATGTAAAAAAAACAACGCACTGACCCCAAAACCTGCTTGGCTGTGTGTTTACCATATTTAAATCCATTGTTCAGAATTCTTTATCTTTTTTTTCAAATTGTGCATGTGAAATGCAACTGCTGCAGATTCCGTCTGTGCCTGTTTATTTCCAAGGATCTGTTGAAACGCTCAGCAGTGTGAACAGATTGTTTACCACATGGACGGGATGCTGTTGTATTGTGGAAAATGTGAAGGTGGTATGCTGTGTTATTTGGACATATCTGTGTTTTTGTGTTTGTCGCTCTGCGCTCCACAGTGTCTCCGCCGACAAGAAGGATTTCTAATGAGCTCTTTTGGCCGGTAATCTCTTCACTGGATTACTCAAATTGTGTTCAAAGCAGCCGAGGAGAGAAACAGACGGCTCTTTGGATTTGCAGGGGAATCTTGAGAAAAGTTGTGTGTCTGTCAGTGAAAGGATAGATTATGCGTGGCGTGCATGCATGTATTGTTTTGATCAGCTTTGTCGCGAGAGACTATCTGAAAGAAAACTCTGGATTAAGCAGCAGGGATTTGGAAACAGTTCTATTTATTGCTTTGAATCGTGACTGTGAGCTATTTAACTGTAACGGCAACTGGTGGACGTTCCTGTCTGCCAGGAATAAAGGATCAGCTGGGGTCACATGCTCGCTTCATCTCTGGCGAATTATCAGTTTGATATTGAGAGTATGGCTTAACTAAGAGCTTTAATCTGATTGCTGAAGAAAATAATGTGTCTGTTTATTAGGACTTTTCTTTCTGACCCCAAGTCAATTTCCCATTTCAATCTTAATGTGTTGCTACATAAAGCTGACCACCGCTCGGTTCCCATGAGATGTTCCCTAAATACCATTAGGGCTGTCTGCACAGTGCTGTTAAACTACTTGTGATGATGTTGTAAGCAATGCTCTGCTTGCGTCAGTCCTACCGCAAATATTAAGCTGATTTGTACTTGCAGCGTTGTCTGCTGTCCCCACAGAGAGCGCCAGGCGTCTAGTACCGGGGGCCTGAAACTATAAAACACACGACAATGAAACACTTTGTTAGAGGAGTAGATAATCACCACGGCTGACTCTTCTGTCACCTGTTCAGAACTGCTTTGTAAGATCCCAATCTGAGCCAAATCTATCGATCTGTTGAAGAGAACAAGGCTGATTGTGTTTCATGGACACACAACACTTGATAGCTGTTAGCCAGGATTTGTTTCATAGCTTTTTTTTTTTTTGTCATTTGTATGCCTGTGTGTTACTGAGTTGTTGAGTCACTGTTGCATGATCCACCCTGAAAGAAAAGCATTACGTATCAAGGCTATTTAATGACATGAATATGTTGAAATAGACATTTACGTTGTTCTCAGAACTTGCTTATGTTATAATTTGTCTCCTGCCCTAAATGTGGATTTGGTGTCGGTTGTTCTTTTGCAGTACTTCACTGGTCTGGAATGTGGGCACAAGTTCTGCATGCAGTGCTGGGGCGATTACTTAACCACCAAAATCATAGAGGAAGGAATGGGACAGGTATGTATTTCAGCTCTTTGGACATGGAGAGTTTAAATGTCACTGCCATGATAGCATTGAACAAATTATTGGTGTCATGGCAACTATATAACATATACATCTTTTTTTGCAATATGAAAGAAGATTACTAAACTAATCAAATACTTTAATATCTAGAGATGTCCCCCTAAACAAGTTCTGATCAAAGTCATTTGCTTTTCAAACTCTAAAGCCGAACTTTATATGTCTTCTCTTATTATGCTTTATGCTGAATTATTGCAAAGCTGTAGAGAATTTTGAAATATTGCTATTAAACTTTACTAAAACACAATACTTGGATCATATTGATGAGATTAAGCTCATTGTCAGAAAGTTTGATCATATTAAAATATGCGGTGTGCGCCAATTTTAATCACATGATTAAAGGGGCTTGTAAACACCTTAATGGCATTTTTACTGCACTGACTTAAGTGTGTGCTTGGATGTACAGAGATGGTCTTTGGTGTTCATGCCTGGATCACCACTAATATGAAATTCTGAAAGCATCACAACATCCCTAATTAAATAAAACATGTGGTATTTTTATCACCCGTAGTGTTTAAGGTCACATGATCTTGTAGATTTTTTTTTACATGCTGATTTGGGGACCAAGAAGTGATTAAAAATATTGCTGTTTTTTATTTTTGTAAAACAAAATCTTTAAATAGAAAACATTTGCTTAATATGGTGTCTTGAATTGTAATTCTTTATTGTTTATTATTCTTGCATTGTAAATGTCTATCACTTTTGATCAGTTGTGTATATATGCTTGTGTAAAATACTAATTGTAAGTGAATTATTTGCTTTTTGTCAACTTAGTATCATGTATATTAATATATAAGCAACATATTACATTTTAATAGTTATTTTTTATGAAACAACTATTCTAATAAATGGTTAATAAAATAACTATTCTACATTTTGACAGGTTGTCCCTCAGACTGTTTGTTTTATGTGAAATGTATATACAATGGTATTTATAACATTTTAACAGCTGATGCTTGCAGCCGTATCACCGCTAGATGCAGACTCTAAGTGGAGCCTGTTATTCTGATTCTGGTATAAATACTTCAGCTGTTTTGTTTAGATGTTGAGATATTTACACTGGTTCTAGCTGATTTGTTCTATTTGTAATCTGACATTTTGTCTGTTTTTCTAACCTATTGTAACACAATCTTGTTTGTTTCCATTCTAGACCATTTCTTGTCCTGCTCATAGCTGTGATATTCTGGTGGACGACAACACCGTAATGTAAGTGATTGAGAAATGAGTCATATTTCTAGAAAGGTTTAAAAGTGCCATGCAATGCATTGAAGCTATATGTTAATTGGTTTTGTATTTTAATGGAAGGCATGTGGCTCTCCAAAAACGGTTTTACTGGTCAATTTACAAGTCCTAATATGATATGCTTGCTATTGACCTTATTTGGAAAGGTTGTGAATATTAATGAGCTCTACTCTTATGCTCCAGCAACTCATGTCAGTGCCTCAAGCCCTCTTTCCACTGCACACAACATTTGGACACGACTGTCAGGATTTCCCCTTGTGGCAGTCGCATAGAATTTTTAGTTTTGTGCACCATGGGAGAGAAGCTGTTCTCGAAATAAAGTGCAAAAGCAAGAGCCATTATTCTCTGTGCGTAAAAATATAAAGTGGAGACAACATAAAAAATTATATTTTTATTACTTACAATTATGAATAGAAATGTTTTTTTTTAATATAGACCTTTTCTGATAAAAAACAAAAAACTAGTATTTCTCATCTCGTGCACACGACCTGCTTTGACAACACTGGAATACATCACATCCGGTCAGCTGGTTGCATACGGTCTAGTCGCAGGAGTTCAAATATTTCAACGGATCCGCAGCTCAATTCAGATTTGATTTTTCCACATACGGAGATGATCAGAACTCCATGCAGCTCCCAGGCTACTTTCCATTGAAATGAATGACTTCTGGTCTGTCGTTTGTCATGTGCAGTGAAAAGGAGGCTTCATACATGGTTATGTACTCTGAAATACAAGATATGTGCGATAAATAAATGTGCAAAAATAATCATACTTCTGTGTTAAAAACAAATCCTGTAGATTGCTTGTTAAATGACAAGTAATAAATAATCTTTTGAATTGAAGTGATGGAGAGATTTATTTTGCCTATGGGGAGAGAATGAGCTATCTCTATGTTGAGGTGTGGATGAAATGTATTTTAAATTATAATCTTACCCAACAATAGGGCTAGTCATAGATGTATTTGGTGTAGTTTTGGGCTTTTATCATATATAAAGACACAGGCAGGAATTAATATCAACACATATAAACAGAAGAGGTTAAGTTTGTTGGCATCTTTACAATCCAGAAAAATCATAAACAATCCACAAACGTGCATTAAAAGCTTATATTAAGTTTGCATGTGTTTGTTGTCTTATTACAATCACATGCAGAAAATATCCCAATATAGACGTTAAACTAACCAAAAGATACTTTTTAAACTGAACAGAACTACTTCCTCTTCCTTAAAGCTGGTCCCATTTTCAAAATAAGAGTCCCGTATGCATAGAAATTATAAAACAAGCTTAGATATACTTTAAAATGGGGAAAAAAACTATTATTGTTTTAATCTCACTAGAAAACACTACAGCCAGTGGAACTATGCCTAGGTATATTCCGATTTTTATACTATGGATCCTTTAAGTAAAAGGAATTCCACTCTCTTTCTGCGACCATTTTGATAACATTATATATAACACTAATTTTCTGTATGCAACTTGGTTATCCAAGCAATCTTTACATTCAAATGGAGTTTTTTTCAAGAATCACATCAAAAGTCATGTTATTGCAATTACTTTATGTAGTATTCTTCTAAGAATAGTCTGTCTCATTCTCACATTACCATTGTTATATGAAAGCCTAATTTAATTCATTCTTGGCTCCGCTATACAATGGTATGTGATGAGGTATATTATGATTATCCTCGATGAGTTGTAGTTTATTCCTAGTCAGACTCAGAAGTAGGACACTTTTACTGTCTTGCTGGAGGTGTGAGTCACAAAACGGCACCTCCTGTCGATTCACTTAGATTATTTTGGATTCGCACAGCTGTCTTAACCTACATTTGATCTCCCTGCTGCTTTTGTGATGCAGGTACAGGGTTTGATCCTTTTTATGCACTCGTAGCTTATAATGAATAAATATTGTATTTAGAAACATATGTGGTTGTATTTGGGTGATTATTAAATCTTAATCTTTTATAAGTTTATTAAATCCTATTTTTTAAACTCTCCGTTCTTTTCACAGGAGACTGATTACAGATTCAAAAGTGAAGTTGAAGTACCAGCATTTAATAACCAATAGTTTTGTAGAGGTAATACTTCATTTCATGATATTATTGCATTGTGTACACTTGTGTTTACTGAAAATGAATACACCCTTTGTTAATAAGCTCATTTTAAAACTGCCGCTTTTATCTTATCTTAGCATAAATCATTGAATCGGATTAGACCATTAGCATCTTGCTCAAAAAAATTCAGTCTTAGTACACAATGGAAATCCAGAAGTATCAAGCTTTAAGTAGAAAAATGGTCCAAACTTTTTGAGCGAAATGCTAACTGTCTAATCCAATTCAGTGATTTATGCTAAGCTAAATGTGCTCCTGCCAGAAATCAGCTGAAAGGACTAAGTAAAATGGTAAAATTCTGTTAAACTTTTGGGGACTTGTAAAATGAGTCTATTTCTAAAAAAGTGGATTGTTTTTTTGTTTAAGATTTCTTAATTGATAGTCTCCTAGTTTTTAATTACTCAAGACATTTATTAAATAACGTTCTATGGCACGAATCTTCAGATATGAAAGCTTAAATGAAATCTGATCTGTTCTTCTGCAGTGTAACCGACTGTTAAAATGGTGTCCTGCGCCCGACTGTCATCATGTTGTCAAAGTACAGTACCCAGATGCCAAACCTGTAAGATGCAAGTGTGGACGACAGTTTTGGTAAGACACTGAACCGCTAATGAGATCAGATGCTTCTGACCTCAGATCAGGTTTAGGGCTTCCACCAGCTCAGGGAAGGCCTGATCCACCCAGTAACACAAGAACTCATGAGACACATTCCCTTAACGCCACCGGTAATCTGATCCAGACATTACAGCTACCTGTTCATTTGGGAAGCAAAGAATCATTAGCGTCAGAGTCACTAGTCCTTGTGCATGTTTTCTTTCCATGTCATTTTACATATTTAGAATGACAAAACAAATATAATGTTTATACAGCTGATAGGCTTTTAATTATTTTGCAGCTTCAACTGTGGGGAGAATTGGCATGATCCAGTGAAGTGTAAGGTATGTTGAGGCCTTGTTGTGGTTAACTTTTGAGCCATTTCCATTAACTGCATTAAGCGGTCACAAAAAATAATGAAAAAGGCAAAAATTTCTGTATGGATGCACAAGGGTTAAAATCTGCATCTACAACTTTAATTGCACAACACTGTGGTTAGTGTTTAAACATAAACATCATTTTTTTGAACATTTCATTGTCAACAGTGCCATGTGTGGTCTTCATTGTTTAGCACTGTTTTGGCAGTTATGTCTGCCACACAAAATTGTATTATACTCTTCCATAAATACTCTTATTTATTTTGAATGCCAAGGCCTGAATGTGCACAACCTATTTTTTTTGTATTGTTGTATTAGTAGAAACCCCATTTTAGTGCCATTTAATTGACAGCACTGATGAAAAAAGTTTTTAGCATAGAAATTTTACTATAAAGCATGTTGATTTGAAAACAAGTGTTCTCTGTCTGAACAATGAAAGCTAGCAGACTGCCACCTCTTCTGCTCTCAGCATTAAGAGGCTCTTCAGAGACTCATCTTGTTATTGTGGGGGTAGTCTTGGCAAAAACAAAGGAAGCTTCAAGTCCCTTATGCTTCTCATATGGGGATTACAATCATCTTCCACTGAGAGAGACCATTTAACCCTTCATAAGCACTGTTGATACTCCACTTATATCTTGATGTAATATTCTGTGTCATGAATACATCACTTTAGTATCTCAAATTATTGCAGTAAAATGATTTATTCAATTGTTTTTTTTTTCTCAGTGGTTAAGAAAATGGATTAAAAAATGTGACGATGACAGTGAGACATCGAACTGGATTGCAGCCAATACAAAGGTTAGTGATTAAGCTCACTTTAATGTGGTGGACACTTCCCTTTATCATTCAATGAAGATTAATGGTCAAAATGTTTGTGTTTCAGGAATGTCCGAAATGCCATGTCACCATAGAGAAAGATGGTGGCTGTAACCATATGGTGTGCCGAAACCAGAACTGCAAAGCAGAGTTTTGCTGGGTCTGTCTGGGCCCCTGGGAGCCACATGGTTCTGCGTGGTAAGTCTGGGTTTTTATTGTTTTGTTGGTTTAATGCTTTTTTCAGCTAGTAGGGCCATCCTTTGTCTGTGTTCTAAACCTTTAACTCATATTTATTTAATATAAGCTCCAAGTAAAGCAATGCCAGATGTTACAGAAAGCTACTTAAATCAAACTACAGGTGTGATTACTTACAAGTGTCACAAATTCAGTGTATTGGTTTGATTTTTAAAATTATGCATCAATTCATTTATTAAAAATTGCTATGTTAATAACCACAATTTAGTTATTTTTTATGTTTCTGACAAGTAAATATGATTACAAATAGCAAATAACAAATGGTTGAACCAGTGCAAAAAAATAATGCAAATCAAATAAGTGTGTTTTCTTTTTTGGTTTATTAACATTAATGATTCTCAGGTTTATTTCAAGACCTGATGCACAGATCTACCATATTGCTATACATCAGATTTATATTAGCTGAATATGTTTAGATATGTGATGTTGTTTTTTAAATATAGATAGTATAATATAATTCTGTGCATCTAACTATTCAAGCTAAAGAATGCTCCACTAAAGAGATCTTGTTGTGACAGAAAGATAGGTGACTTGCTTTTTATGCACAGATATTTTTAATTGCATATTGATCATTTATTTAGTATAAAGCGCATATTGATTTGTTTTGCCATATTTTTACCTGTGCTTTTTTTCTCTGAAAGGACATACTCAAAAAAACAAAACAAAAAAAGGTCCTAAGAAAGAAAAGAACTAATGTATAGATTATAATATGACAGATTAATGAAAAAGGCACGAAAAGTTTATTTATGGCATATTTCATACACGATGGTAACTCAAAGTGCTTTTACATAAACAAGACTAACAGAAACAAGAAAATAAAAATCATTCAAAAAAATTTTATTCGATTAAAAACAGATTAAAATATGTTATAAATGAGTAATGTATAATAATGGTACACCATTTATTTACCATCAAATAATTTATTTTATATATAATTTAATATGTATGATAATCTTTTTTTTGTTAAAGTTTTTTTTATATATTGATCAGAATTATGATGCATTTAAAAAAACAGTAATAAAAAATAAATAAGATTGTTTGTCACAGCTTTGAATATAACTATTCAACTATTTATCATTTATCAACTTTAAATAGAACTATTGTTTAAAACAAGCCCTCCATAAGAAGCAGTCTTAGCTTATTAAAGAACTGTACCTATAAAACAAATAAAAGACAGCTGGTGATGCTGGTAACCTACAAAATTAAAAGGTGGAATTCTTAAAGGGGTGGTCCACTACGATATTATATTTTAAACTTCAGTTGATGTGTAATGTAGCTGTGTGAACATAAACAGCATCTCTGAATGTAAAATATTCAAAGTTTAATGCAAAGGGAGACCTTGATTTGTACAGAGTTAGCTTAGCAACGCCTACAATTAACGAATTTTGGGGACTACAAAAAATACTTCCGCCCCCTGTGAGATCACAAAAGTTCGTTATTGCGCATCCCACACTGCGCAGGTAAAGGCCGTGGCCAGAGGCGCTGTAACGTTACTGCAGAGAGAGAAATGCCATCCTGCTGTTTCCACAGAGCTGTTCTGTTTCTGTTGTTGGGCTTCCAAATGACACGACCCAAACACAGAAGTGCTTACAGTTCAATATTAATTATGTTCCAGAGAACTATAAAATACATAGCAAGCATGATTTGACAAAACACAGCTTCCAGAATCTCTCCCAGTTCAGTGCTGGATTCAGTTAAAATCTCCTCAAAGATGGAGCAAGGAGACGCTGTGAACTCTGAGTCATGACCTGTAAGTGTTTTTATTTGTTAAAATTGATCATGACATGTACAGTGTCTAACTTTAACGGTGTGTTGTAGCAAAGATGTAAACAACGGGAAATTATGGTAACCGCTAACGACTTAGCTAATGTTACAAATCCATATTTATCAAACGGCTGTAAACGCACACACACACATACACATACACGCACTCTTGGCCAGCACCTGCGTCTCTCTGTGTGAGACGGCAGAATTTCTCTCTATAGGCAGCTATGCTATGCGTTTTACAACTCGGACAATAAAGTCGCAAAAGATATGTGAACGATTCATGTTACTTACACAGGCATATTCCGCATATGCATGAAAGACGTCCTGTAACGCATTGATTTAAAAAAAATACAGCAATGATTTCCCAACTGGAGTGTAACATCAAAAACAAATCAATCCAGGCTCACAAAGGTCTCATCTCACATCTTGTGCTTTATTCTGTCACCACAGAAAATAACTTAATCCGAGCATGAGAGAAAAAGAACAATAAAAATCTCTCCCGCGCACATGCGCTTCTCGTGTTACAAATACTTCATCGTATACACGCATAAACACACTAAAAGGCACAGAAACAGTTAAAGGAGCCGCATCCCATTTTCACTCGTTACAGACACGTGTTGACTGACTGACTGTTTACACAAAACGCGCGTGCTTGTCAGGGCGTGACGTGAAGCCGATCGGCGTATCACAGCATATTATGATGATGACCAATCAGAGTCACTTGAGGGTGGGCCTTTTAGAGGAACTAGGAAATATGACAGTCGTTTTCATGTTAGCTGAGTAGCTGTGTATAATCAAAGTGAGATTTATGAAAAAATAACACGATTTCCTTCAAGTTAAACATGAGCACACATTGCTTTGCATCTTATTAACACAACCAAGCCTTAAAAATAACATTCTGGACCACCCCTTTAAGGCAGAAAAATATTCAATATTAAGTTTTTAAATGTTTGTTCTCTATTGTAATATTATTTATTCCCACTAGCAGGAGTGTTGTTGATCATCTGGCAGTGGTTTTTTTATTTTTTTATTTTTGAATTAGATACACCTTAAACGATCAAGAAAGCAGGCAAATGTGACTGAATTCCCCAAACTATCTCTCAGATGAACTAGTATGCTCCTCTACTACCTTCTCCCAAGGCAGCGTATACATATGATCAACAGGCTGCACTTAAACCCGAGAGCTCAAAGGCTAGCTTTCTCCTCCTCTTCGTTCCATGCAGTCATATGTTTACAGATCCCTTACAAACATCACTTATAAAAATCGAGAGTGACTCATTCGATTAGGGACCTCTGAAATTCAGCCAGTATAAAGTTCTGTGATATGTTTGTAAACCGTTTTTGTTGAAATTTTACATTTGTGCACTGACGTCTGACACATTATTAGCTAATATAAATAATGGCCAAGGTATTCTTTTTTTGTTTCATGCATAAGCTTTGTGTTTTCAAAGTAAACTCAAACATACACATGCACAGCACCATCTAGTGGATTTGCTCTGTTCTTAATCTGAAAGATGGGTGAGATGGGCAAAAAAAATCCTTTTGGTCGATGTAGAGAATTATCAGAGCAAATGTTGTACCTCCATATCTTTTGAAAGTTTAAAGCAAATTTTTACTCCTGTGTGGAAGTTGTAAAAAATCAAATGGTAAATTGATCAAATTTACTACACTTTTGTTATGTTCGTGGCTGTTTTTGCCACATTGACTTTCATTATAATGATACTTTTTATGACAGCATATAATAATGCATTCCTGTTGGGAAAAGACCAAATATATTTATATATTTTTTGCGTTGAACATCAGTTGCCAGCAAAAACCCCTTACTTAGACTTATGCAAAAAAGTTTCTGTCTTCTATATAGCTTTCTATTGAGTAAAACAGCAAATTATTGTGTGTGTGTGTGTGTGTGTGTGTGTGTGTGTGTGTGTGTGTGTGTGTGTGTGTTCGCGCACGTGCGTGCGTGCGTGCGTGCATAAGTAGAATACACTTACTATGTTTATCATGTTCTGACAGCTGAGGTGCTTTTTTTTATTTATTTTTTTTCTCAGACACATTAAGATAAGTGCATAAAGGTCTCTCTCACACACATATTCACACTCACACTATACTCCATATAAAGGGCAGAAACTAGCTTTTTTTTTGCATTGCAACTTACCTTTACCCAACAGGGAAAATCAGCAACAATAAAACTGCATGATTATATGGTGTCATAGTTTTGCAATCAAATATTTTTGACAAACTATAAAGCATTTTCCCAAAATATGTGTAAAAATAGGATTTTTCACGAAAAATCATTTAATTTACTGAAACACAAAGAAAGCTTTGGCCAAATTAAGACTCAAAATTGCCCCAGAGTAGATGAAAACATCCCCAACAACACACAAGGGTTAAGTAATTATTTACTATCACAACAAACATTTTTTGAACAAATGAGCATTTCAAAGATCTGATGTTCAGTAGTTATTTAAACATTTGTTGAGTAAACTTTAATCTTTTGGTAGTATATATCTTAACAGAGAAAGAGGTTAATATAATTATAATTCATGGTATCAATATTCAGTAACAACATCTCTGATGATTGTTTAATGTTTAGCTGAATCACAGAGTAATTGTGTGGTTTCATATGATAATGGTATGAAAAATACTATCCTAAATAGCTGGCATTAAAAACTGAAGTAAATACAAATCAACTATGGCAAAAGCTTAATAATAAGAATTACTGTCATTATATTTCTTTACAACTTAAACACATTTAATACGCCTTGACATAATAATACAATTCATGTGTATATCTCCCTATCCTGCTGCAATAGAATGATGCAGTTACTGTCACTACAATAAATCCATCCATCTAACAGGTTCATTCACGGTAGTGTTTCTCCTGTCTTTCAGCATTGTTTCACGCGGCTTTAAATCACAGAGACATTTGTGTTCTTCACCAAATTCAATCGCTTCTCTTCAGAGCTGCTCCAGTGATCAATTTTACAGCTATCCACTCGTAAATAAACTTAAACTAGCTTTGTGCTGCTGTTGGATGCCATTCAATTTAAAAGATGCACATTTTGTGTCAAAAAGTGTTTGGTTTCGCTATGAAGTATACAAATTATATTGAACATTTATCAAGCAGGTGTTCTTGTCTAATCGAGGAAAAGCTATATTATTGTTAGCACTTTATCTCCTAGCCCAACTCGCACCTGTTGTAGATACACCATAGCCGCGTTTCCACTATCGCGCCTAAAGCGAGCGAGCCAAGGCCAGTGGCGTTTCCACTGTCACTTCCGGGGCCTAATCAGGCCAAAGCGGGGCTTTCTTGGGGCCAGCAGCCGGCCTTTTTCGGCCCGCCGAATACCTTGGGCCAAAGAGGGCCAGCCGGGGCTTCGGGGCGGAGTGAAAGGAGAGGGGGGCACAGTTTTCCGATCGCACACGAGTACATGCGCCAAACACATAAACAAATAAATGAATAAATAAATAAGGGAAAGAAAACATTTGGAACAAATTATAGGCTGGGGTCTTTTTTGCATATGATCGCCCTTATGTTTCTCTTTTAAATGCAAGGCTGTTGCATAAAATGATAGTTTTTATAAGTGACTTTTCTTTGCTGCATCTCTTTGATGTTTCAATAACGCATAATAATCTTTACACCATATTAAAGACACAGCAGACAGAAAAGGTTTTCAAGAGGTTTTGTCAAGTTTAATAAGTGTGTTTTTGCGCGTTTAGATGCCTGTGTATATGTGTGAGACAGAGGAAAAGAGCGCTCCATTCATAGCTCTGTTGATGCCGCGCGGCTTTTTTCTTTGATTTTTATTGTTTTAATTTATTTCGGAGGTAATACACTATATGAATACAACAGAAAGACATTAAACTTTACAAATTTCATGTCCACTTTTGTAGGCTCAAAACAATATTGTCATGTCTAGATAAAATAGCCCTATATTGAAATAATTTAAAGAATTACAAATATCAGATACAATAAAATCACATTAAATAAATAAACCAATATAAAACTAACAAAAGCTATATAGCTATAACAATTAGGTACTATATCAAACTGTTTCAAATTTATATTAAACTTTCATTTTTCAAAAGCCTCTTTGAAAATTTTTTTTTAGATATTTTCTAAAATAAATAAATAAATAAACACCAGAAAATGTTTTAAATATTATTTATAAAGTATTTTGATGCAATGAAATTAATCAAATTATGCAAACAGAGCATTTTCGGGGTGAGTGAAAGCAGAAATAGGCGACCTTTTTTCTGTCTGCAGACGCGCAGCACTTTTTAGACGGGGAATACTGCAAATTCAAAATGTGTTCTGTGTCCTCAAACAAGTGTGTGTGTTTTTATATAACGTGGTAAAAATAAAAAAGGACATTTTAAATACATAAAGAGCTTTATTAGTGCATAGCTGCTGAGCGCAACGAAATATAGGCCTAGGCTATATTTTATTACGTGCTGCTCTTATGTGCTGAAACACTGAACACTTTCCTTTACTTTAGATATAATAAGCAACATCTTTAAATAAAGGGAATCACCTATTAAGTGTCATAAAGCCTATAGGGACAAAAATCCTGTTTCAGTTCTCTCCGAGCATTTGGGATGAATGTTGGACAGATTCTGTCTAGAGGATGTTATAAAATACATTTTATATCGAGTTATTAACAGAGAATTTTATATATATGGTGTTATATTATGGATGTGTGCGCTCCCTGCGCTGGGTCCCTCCGTTGGTGGCAAGACCACTGGATTTCGATGCCAGTCGGTCGGCGAGTAAATGAATATGATGAATGAAAACACACAGGCATGTGCGTATAGACATGCGTTGTACTGCTGTACAGTAACGTGTCATTTGTTTGTTTTGGTTGTCCTAATTTTAATAGTTTCGTGATGATGTGATGATGTGCTTTATCTGCATGATTCTCGCTGAAGTGTGCGGTTTGAGTGACGTTTGATTCGAGGGATGTTCTGAGGGCGGGGTTTGCGTGACGCGCTGCGAGCTACTAGCCCCACAGTGGAAACGCGACATGATTTCCGCCTCACTGCTCAACCTCCCGGGCGATTGGCCCGGCCTGGCCCGATATAAGCCCTGGCTCGCACTGGCCTGATAGTGGAAATGCGGCTCATGTGTGGGGGCCTGTAGAAAAATAAATATTCACAAACACTTCTGATGATAAAATTTACATCAAGAAGCACAGATGGCTAAATTACACTTTTAAGGGCTATTCTTGTGTTTTGACCCACAGGTACAACTGTAATCGCTATAATGAGGATGATGCCAAGGCAGCACGGGATGCGCAGGAGGTAAATAATGTCAGTCCATTCATATTGGTGTTTGGACATACGATATGGAGATTTGTTATTGATTGTTTGTGATGTTTAGCGTTCCAGAGCAGCCCTGCAGAGGTACCTGTTCTACTGCAACCGCTACATGAACCACATGCAGAGCCTGCGCTTCGAGCACAAGCTGTACGCTCAGGTCAAGCAGAAGATGGAGGAGATGCAGCAGCACAACATGTCGTGGATTGAGGTGCAGTTCCTGAAGAAGGCTGTGGATGTGTTGTGCCAGTGCCGCTCCACGCTCATGTTCACCTACGTTTTTGCATTCTACCTCAAGAAAAACAACCAGTCCATCATTTTCGAGGTAAACCAACCACTGTCTTTTGTTTTGTTGTTGAATCTTTAAAAAATGTGAGATGTTTGATTGTTTTTTTTTGTGTCTGCATACAGAATAACCAGGCAGATCTGGAAAATGCCACAGAGGTTCTATCTGGATACCTGGAGCGAGACATTTCCCAAGATTCCCTGCAGGACATCAAGCAGAAAGTACAAGATAAATACAGGCAAGTGTACAACTGGAGCCAAACTAGCATTTGTCTGCATTTGAACAACTGAGGTTTAAGATCCACTCCTAACAAAATGCATAGGAACATACACAGAGATATTTTTTATTTATCTCATAATTTTGCCTTTTTCCTGATTTATTTGTTTATAACTCGTAATTACGAGTTATTATCTGAGAATTGATTTATTTATTTTTTATCTCTAATAAATGTTAGAATACAAAAAGTTATGATGTGTAATGAACATGCAATTTTGGTTTTAAATCTCATAGTTCTGGTAAGATTAATTGTGATTAATCACATCCAAAATAAAACACAGCTAAACATAGCTAAACACAGTAAATGCACACATATTATGTAAATACAAACATTTGGATGTCAAACAATTAAACTTTAGAAATTATTTTAAGAAAAGAATGAGAATATGAGATCTGAGAAATAAATTCAGAATTGTTAGAAATAATTAATAATAAAATATTAATAATAGTTCAAATCTTCGTCTTCAGTTTCGGGCTCTGGCCTGTTTTGCACTCACACTATAAGCATACCGCGCCAAAGCCCAAGTAAACCGCGCTCTAGCACACCTCTTCTAACCGGGCCAGGGCTGGCCAAGTGAACCGTGCCTGAGCACAATTAAGAGAACTCACACTTCTCAAATGATCCGGGAAACGGGCTTGGGCACGGTTTAGATAGCATAGTGTGAGTACGCCCATAATGACCCCAAGGGTCGCAATTCAATGGGAAAAAATTAGCATGTTGTTGTTTTTTAATGTAAACTATTAACTACTGTTTTTATCTTCTGTAGGTTATGGATAAAATATGGTAATTCTAATAGTTCAATCAAATGAATTAGATTTTAGGAACTCACCAAGCAATTACCCCATTATCCTGCGACCTTCACTTTGGCAACCACTGTGCAAGAGCAAGTGCAAGATGAGCAGTTAATGAGCCTTTGTTTTTCCGCTATATCTGTTATTGGCTTCCAAATATGAGAAAACTATTATTGTAATACAACTGATAAGTCTCTATATAAGTGCATGCTTGATTATGTCCTTAATGTTTTAATTCCAACCTGTTTTTTTTTTTTTACACATTTTTTTCCGTTACATACACAAAAACTGCATTCTTGACTCCATTAGAGTCCCTAGACCCCATTTTGAAAACCCAACTATCATTTTATTAAAGGTGATGCAGAAATGACTTTTGTTGTTTTGCCAATGTGTACCACACACACTACAGAAACATTATCAATTTATTTCTTTGTTTCTAACAATCCAACACCATGCCGCTCCTGTGTTCAGATACTGTGAGAGCAGACGGAGAGTCCTGCTGCAGCATGTACACGAAGGCTATGACAAAGACCTGTGGGAGTACATCGAGGATTGAGATTGATCTCCGCACCACAGACTCTCGGAGAGAAGCTCCAGCCACTAGAGCACTGATGCAATGACCAGAGCAGCCCTGACCAGCTGCCTCCTGCCTGGCCAAGCCGCCCTGCGTTGCATCACTTCCCCAGAACAGCAGAAATTATATTTAAATTAGAATATTACAAAATAAAATATTACATGCTCAACAGTATTGTCAGCAGCGCAAGACTGAGACATCCAACAAAAAGGCAAAAATCTCTTCCTTTTGCTTGCATCGTAAGATCTTCCCCCTCCTCGGAAACAAATGTTTTCCTCCTCCTCAGTTACGTTTGTGGACGTGTTCTGTTTGAATTTATTTTAAATACACTTTTTTTTTTGGTTTGTTTTGTGTGTGTGTGCGCGCGCGTGTGTGTGTGGAAAATGGACTTTGGTTTTTTTTCTCAAAAATGGCTTTAATAATTTTGACCATGTCTGGCAAGCTCTGTGTTGTTTGGGTTGCTGAATGTTGATTGGTTGATTGTTAAGAAGGCTTCTTTTTGGCTTCGTGAAGAAAAAAAAAAGAAAACACCAAAAAAAAAAAGACGACAAAATCGGTATTTTTCAATTTGTAAATAATGCATATGCATGGAAGTTTAAAGAGTAAGAGTGGCATGTGTTTGCATCATTTTTAAAAGATATTTATCTTTACAAATATAAAAAAAACTGTATATTTGCTGTGTAGATTGAGTGTCTTTCCCTATCTTGGTTCGAGGTTTGGACTTGACGTTAAAAAGGGGGGAGTCTTTGTTTCTCCCTTTATTCTGCCAAATCGAGCAGATCATGCCAAGGTGGCGCTTTTCTGCCTACTAGAAGTCTTGTGGAAGCTTCTGGCTTTACAATTAGAGGAAAATAGGGGATTGTATGGTGTTCGCTGCTTTTTCCAAGAGTTAATACTTTGAAAACAGAACAGTGGTTTGCTGTTATCTCCCTTCTCCTTCTTAATAGACTTAGTATCGTAATATGATTTTAAGAGTTATATGAATAATTTCTGAGAGCCAAACTGAGTGACATTCACTCACATAACCTTTTATATTTTTGCTTTTGTCTCTCTGAAGTTCATTCTTCGCTCCCGACTCGAAAATCTCTCTGTCCGCCCAACATGCACATAGATGAAATTGTACCATCGAGCTGCTTTTCTTGACATCTGTTGTCTAGCGTTCTGACTGAGCCATTGACAGACAGGGTTATTAGGCGTTTTCCACACGATCGATTTGTTGTTTTTTTTGCACATGGCAGAACTAATAGTAGGAAGGCACTGTTATCTCCGTTTATTTTGTGTAAAATAATCCCACGTTTGCACCCGGGATGCTTTCCAAAGGGCCGTTGGAGTCATGATTTAGTTTGCAGGGAATATGTGATGTAACCTTCGTACTGTGATGTTGCATTTGTGTACACTTTGTTCATGGAAAAAAATGTACAAATTGTATGTGGCCGTCATTGAAGCACTGAAACCGTCTGTTCAAGTGGGATTCTGGGATAGACACAGGTGGGACGGTGTCATTGCAGAGCAAGTTGGCATATTTAGACAACACCAAAGTGTCAAGTAATTTTACTTTGTTTTTATTTTCACCCGCCCTCTCTCTCTGCTGAGGTGTGACTCATCAATTGGTTTCCATTTATCCGTTTTTGCTTTTCTTTCTACATTTTGAATGATAAATGCCCTAAAAAGCATTCTTAAATCAAAATAATAGCATTTTCTTCTGTTAGCCTATTAGTCTTTTTGTTTCGTGTGTGCTGGGAATGATTGCAATTAGTTTTTATCCAAGTGCTGAGATGGTCTTCCAGGTATAAACGTACATAATTCGACTATTAAACGAGAGGCAGATATTTCATGAAAGCATAATAAATATGAGAAGCTTGACTATTTATTTTGTAGCTCTCTGTGGATTCCATTAAAATGGGGCGAACAGTGTGGTCTGCAAAAACATGGGTCTGCTATGCTTGTGTGTGTATGTGTGTGTGTCCACTTTTTGCCGGTTTGCTTCTCAGCTCCTTCTATTTGATCATGTCCATCCAAATTTAACATTCACGGTAACAAAAAGCAGCTACTCTCATTTTGTTGAGACATCCAAAAACTTTTAATACTTTTCTACATGTATCCTTTCTTTACGCGATTAAATTTTCTTTTTTGATTTCTTATATACATAGTGTACAAATGTGTAAGAAATTAGTTGTTCGTTTTGAAGAAAACAGATATTAAAGTGCAAAATGTTGCAAACATTGCTTTAGTTCTGAGTGCATTTGTCTTTATTTCTGGTCTGTTGGGTTTGTCTGGGGTTTTTAAAGGGATAGTTCACCCAAAAAGGAACATTCTGTCATTATTTACTCCCCCACCTTCACTTGTCAAAGCTTTTTGAAGAAAGCTGAAAGCCGGTACACATATTGACTTCCTTTATGTTTTTCTGACTATGGAGGTTACCAGCCGTCTTCAAAATGTCTTCTTTTTTGTGTTCAGCAGAAAAAGAAACTCCTTAAAGTTTACAATAACTTGAGGGTAAGTAAATGGTGAATAAGTTTAGAGTTTGGGGTGAATCTCTTTAATAGCTTGTTTGTCAGTAATAAGATAAATATTTTTGGATTCATATCATTAAATTAAATGGGATGTTATCCAGTGAATAATGTATAGGCCTAGTCCATAAAACTCATTGATTCCCGCCTTTTCTGAATGTATGGCAAAACATATATGGCAATAATCTGGCCCATATCTGTTCAGCCATGCCATACCTCAGCCACATGTGCCAGCTATCACCCAGATTTGGCCTAAATGTTCTTGCTATCTGGGAGACATTTGAGAGTTGAGACTGGGGGTAGTTGGATTGGAGAGGCAGTTTTAACATAAAGTGACACGATATCTGACATAAAGATGACACTGGCACATGCCACTGTGTGTAGTGACACTTCCGGTGGCACGTCCGGTTTTCACTGTCATGTGTCACTCGGTAGTGGCATGTGTAGTGACCTGTGTCACTCCGAGTGTCGCGCTGCATTTCACTGCAGTGACATCGACATCCGGCGAACGCGACTTTTAACATAATTTATTGCGTCGCAAGTTAGTTTATATGCTGGACTACTCCATGATGTTTTAATTTGAAAGCATTTATTTTACGTATTTGTAGTCATACTTCCGTACGTAATATTTAGTCATTTGACAGTCAAATTTATTGTGGCATGCTAATTAAGGGAGGGGTTACACTTATCTGTTGTGCCGTATATTATTGCATCGTGGCGGTTCCTTTGTTGGCTACAACATGGACTTCTCTATGTTTGTTAATACATTAATTTATTTATTATTTAACTTATTTATTTTTATTTTAAGGTATTTTAAATAATATCCTTTATAAAGTTATAATAAAATGCATGTTGTAAATTCATAACATATATGCATGTAAGATAATAGGTGTCATTTGCCTAATCATTTTAAAACATTAACGAAAATACAAACTTATAAAATTAATGTGCTTATAACGTGCATATACTGACACCTACTGGCACATGTCACAAGATCACTGACATTACTGGCATGTGTCTCTGACATTAGTGACATTTAGGCCTACTGAGTTGGTTTACAAGTCCACACAACTGTCTATAAAGTTATCAATCTTGATCATCGCCGCGCCACAAAACTAAACAAATCTCCCATTGGCTAACTTTCATCAGCTTGTCTATTTTGGGATGTTGTTTTAAAGTTGTTCGTGATGATGATGCTGCGCCGCTCAAGAAGAACCAGAGCTCTCCCTGCTCACCTGAATAACTTTTTGCTGGAGCGTGTCTCTTCCGCTGAGGAGCCCGCAGCGGCGGCCAGGCCGGACACCAACAGCTACATGTCGGACACTTCAGTGGAGGAGCGACACCTGAGGAACGCGGCTGTTCTTTCCATCTTCCTTCCCGCAGCCTCAGTCTCCTCAGTGGGTGAGTGTCCGCAAGAAGAGCCTCTCTCCATCCATGGCCGGAGTGTGCAGGACTATCAGCACATCTACCACCGCAGTATGATGGCCTCCACCAAGAAGAAGCGTGGGGGTCGATACACCCCCAGGCAGGGCCCGGAGATAAAGCAGCGGCTGTGGGAGAAGCTGGACAGGCCTGCACTGCTGGAGACCGAGCAGCCTGATGGACGTGTGCACATCACGGAGGGCAGGTCCAACTCCAGCGTCGCTCCTCATATCATGGTGGACATCAGCAAAGAGCCGCTGCCTAAGGAGCCCCGAAGAAAGAAGCCCGGGCACTGAGTCATCCCATAGTGCCAAATGAAGGATCAAGGGCACGTATGTACATACTGTTTATATTGTATATAGTTATAGAATAAGTTTGCAATACATCAAATTGAACATTTCATTCAAGTTGTATCAAATTGCTGGATGTTTGGTGATTGTCAGTGTTGCTGATATTCTGCTCTTGGGTTGTTGGGTTCAATCGGATAGTTTGCTGTTCGTGGACATGCGTTTAGCAAGGTTTTCTAGGCGGTTTCTTGCGTGTTGCTGGTCTCCTCTGAGTGGTTTTTGGCACATTAGTTGTTAGGTTGTTAGTGTTGGCTGTTGGGCTAGGGTAGGGCCCTCACATGGTTTGCAGCTTGACGTGCAGTGAGAGCTTGTGTGGTTGTCAGTGATGCTGAGAGCTACACCACTGGTACTTCACTGCTACCGGTAGGGCCACCCATAGTGGACAGGTCTCAGCTGAGATGCCCGACCAAGATAAACCACCTGAATAACCAGAAGAAACTTTATATATATATATATATATATATATATATATATATATATATATATATACACACACACACACACACACACACACACACACACATATATATATATATATATATATATATATATATACACACACACACACACATTTTTTAGGTAAAATATTTATTAATTATTTTAATTTAAAGAATATTTATATATATATATATATATAATCACTTTTCAATGTCTTGAAATTGGTGAGTCTTTCACTAAAGAACGTGGTTGAAATTAATGTTTAATTTCATTCATTTATTCATTCATTTTGGCTTAGTCCCTTTATTAATCAGGGGACACTACAGTTAAATGAACCGCCAACCTATCCAGCATATATCCAGCATGAGCTCTGGGAAACACCCATACACTCTTGCATTTACAGCCACACTACGGCCAATTTAGCTGATTCAATTCACCCATTGTTCATGTCTTTGGGCTGTGGGGGAAACCAGAACACCCGAAGGAAACCCACGCAAACACTGGGAGAACATGCAAACTGCACACAGAAATGCCAACTGACCCTGCTGGGACTTGAACCAGCAGCCTTCTTGCTATGAGGCGAAAGCGATACTCACTGCACCACTGTGTCACTGTATAATTTCATCAAACAAGAAATACTTACGGTCCTGGGGAAAAATAAAAATAAGTGACCATTTAAAACAGGGGTTAGCTCCAACTTGTATCAACACACCTGCCAGGAAGTTTCAGGGATAAATAGTAAGCGGTTGATTAGCTAGTTCAGGTGTATTTGATTTAGAGTTTAGACACCACTGAATTAAAAGTTATTATTGGTTATTGTGAATTGAATTAATGCAAATTATTTAGAAAATTCCATGTTTCATGTTATAAAGTTCCCTTATCATTGTGTTAAATGCGAAAAGAAGCAAGTAAACACTTACAAAAATAATCGACAATACAAATAAATTCATACAGATATAAATGGCACAGAAGGGTGTAAATGATGACAAAATTATTTTATGTGTGTGAACTATCCCTTTATTTAAAAAAATAAAGTTTATTGTACTTTACTGCATTTTAATATGAAGTATATATATATATATATATATATATATATATATATATATATATATATATATATATATATATATATATATATATATATATAATTTTTTTTTTTTTTTATGAAAATAATCCTCAAAATAAGAATCTAAAACCTCCAGTAGGTGGTAGTCATGTCTAATGAGTGAGATTAAATCATTAAATCAATAAATCAACAAAATCATTATGTACAATAAAAGTATGTGAAAAATATCTGACCTGAAAAGTGTTTTAAAACTAAATATTGATTTTTATTTGGTTTACACATGTACTTGCTGAATTATTTCAAGGAATAAATCGCAATATTTTATAATATTCGCAATATAGTAATAAATGAAAACCATATTATTTAATTTACCAAAAGCAAAAATATAACATTACACTGAGTTCATTATTTTTGTGAGCCACCCCAAGATTTGCTACTGGTGCTTCCTCAAATCTCTGAACGGCTATGAGGACAAGATCTGAGTTTAAATTTAAGAATTATTATTGACCTACTCACCTAGATTTTACTATTAGTTTTTACTATATAATCCTATTGACCTAGTATTTATTTTATTTTTTTGTGAATGACACCCACTGTTATATAATTGTTGTAATGCTTTTTAAAAATACAGTTTTCAAGCAGTTTGATTAACTGTTTTGAAACAATTGGAAATTGATTAGAATGGATTCAAGACACATCAGATTAATCTCTGATGGAATAAAAACAAACATTCTCACTAATTTTCTCCTTATGTATATGCCCAAAGACGTCTTCCTGGTGCATGATTGTTTATGAGGCATTTATCAGTACAGCAACACAAATGTTTTTGTGTGCAGGAAGAAGTTCCTCAGACAGGAAGTGGAGAGCAGTAATTTGGAAAGCTCTGGTGCTGCTAAGCTTTTAGAGCAACTGCAGTCCAGATACCGGATCTCTGCTTACCTGCACTTAACTCAACACTGATGCAGCAATAGGTGGGACCTCATTCACTGGCACTCTGTGCTTTTAACAAATAAAGCTTTTGGTTACCTTTGGATTAAGCCTGTTTCACACATGGCATTCATTGTAATTGTCTATATATTTGTATATATACACGACCGTTCAAAAGCTTAGGGTCAGTAGGATTTTTAAATGTTTTGAAATAAGCTTCCCCTGTTCACCAAGGCTGCATTTATTTAATAAAAATTACGGTACAAATTATAAAATTGTGAAATGTTATACCACTATAAAATAACTGTTCAAAAGTAGTTTATAATGTAATTTAATATTTTATTCAGTGATTTTTAAAGATTAAATTTTCAGCTTCATGATCCTTCAGAAATCCCTCTAATATGAATTTTTTTTCACCTGGGGATACTCATCCCGAGGTCCTCAGATTATGCGGAGTCACTGATTGGATCCAAGACCAGCGACGTGATGATCCCAAGGATTCCATATCCGGGACCAGGCCATATCCTGAGCTGCTGCTGCGCTGATGGTCGTGGGGAGTGGAGAACATGAGTCTGATTCCAGCGACGCTCCAGGGACAGACGAGTCTTCGCTGAGGCCATCTTCCAGCCTAAACCACGACGAATGAAGTTCTGCACAAGACTTTTGGCCAGCGGAGAAATTAAAATGGTCGTGCCCAACTGAGTCTGGTTCTCTCAAGGTTTTTTTTCTTCACTCCCATCAGGTGAAGTTTTTTTTTTCCCTCTCCGCTGTCGTCACTGCCTCGCATGGTTCAGGATTGGTAGAGCTACGCATCGATGAATTGGCTCTTCAGTGTTTGAACTCTCAGTAATGATTATATCACACTGAACTGAGCTAAACTGAACTGAACTGAACTTAAACACTAAAACCTGAACCACACTGTTCCAGTTACTATGACCATTTATGTAAAGCTGCTTTGACACAATCTACATTGTAAAAGCGCTATACAAATAAAGCTGAATTGAATTGAATGAATTATTATTATTACAATTATTATTACTAGTATTATTATTGATTGGTAATAGTAATAAAAGCAATAATGACTGGAGTAATCATTTTATTTGAAACTACGTAAGAAATTAAAATCTTAATAAATATTAAACTTTTTTTTTACATTTAATTAATGCCACCTTGATGAACAGAATAATTTTCTTTAAAAAAACATGAAAACATTGTGTTAACAATGTAGATTGTGTCAAAGCAGCTTAACATAGAAGTTTTAGTAAATTGAAACTGAAACAGACTACACAGCATATACAAAATATTACAATGATAAGGTAAGTCAGGGAAGCAGTAAGGCTGCAGGTGCTAACTGGACCAGAACTTACCTGCCTTCAGAACAGGCCTGTAGTGAGCCTGGTGAAAGGGGTGGTTCTTCTTTTCTCAAAAAGTGGGTGTTTGTGCAGTTATTCATTTTCTATGTAATTATGTCTAAATACTGCAAAAAATTGTGCTTAAAATAGCACAAAAGCTTGGTCATCGTCACCACACTTTTTGTTGTACCAAAAGCATTTTCTAAAGGTTTACATTAAAGAAATATACAAACTAAAATACAAAAAATAATAATCTGTTGAAGTTTTAAATTTATTAGGCAAATAACAAAGTGGCCAGCATATTTAATTTTCCTCAGTTACAATTTGGGATGCTGAATACGGCACGGTGTGACTTCAGAACAGGGAGTCACGCCGTGCCAAATTCGGCATCCCAAAAGCACTGTACATGATGGATGAAAGTGATTTGTACTCTGTGAGAGCAACTGCAGATGTTGCCACTTTCCTCTGACTAACTGTGTTTGTTTGTGTGTCAGAAAAAGAAAAAAAAAACTCCTCCTCTTTCACACATCAGTCATAAGCAAAAAGCCTGATATGAGAACATACTAGTATGATGTTAAATAAAGACTGCTTATTACAGTTGACTTCATATCCGTTACCAAAAATAGCAAACTGCCTAAATAGACAGTAGAGGAAATGGACAAGCTTAGTCTATAAATGCACACATAATAAAAGCTAAGCAAATTCTGTTACAAGTATAGACTCCTTATTAGTATTAATAAGTTAACAAAAAGTTAAGGTTATGCATGTACATAATCTCTGAATACAGTTTTTAGCCTTTATTTTGACACACAAAGTTGTGCTACACCGCTCTCTAGTGGCTGACTGAGTATACAGCATTGAAAAGACAGCATCGAGAAGCCGTTTCTCCTCTAAAATGCAGTTTCGAGCGCTGTATGTTTTCTGCTATTTATATTTATATTCTTTTTTAAAGAAAAAAATAAAACAATGATTTTAGATTTTTTTTCTGTTTAGACGCTGTGAAAGAATTGCAAATAGTTCATAATTTGTTAAGCGGTGACTCTATGTTAATATACATTAGTAAGCTTTTTTATAAATAAACAAAAGGTCGAGAATCAAAGTTGCTATTATTTATATCCTTTACAGAAATATTATTGTTCTCATTATATTCTACCACAGCGCTGAAATCACGCACTGCGCCTTTAAAATAATGGCGGCGCAGTGGCGTTGCTGTGGTTACCATAGTCAGTGCCATTTTAAAAAAGAATACGTTCGAAAAATATTTGATGACAACAAGAAGCTCGTGAACTGCATTAAGTGTGTGACCATCGCTTGGAGGTGTGTAAAAATCTTTAAAACTATAATTTTAGGTTATTATATATGGTTGTTTCGACGTGATTTTGGCGAAGAACACTAAAGATTTCAGTATTTCTCTCGGTCATATTGTTTCAGATTATTACATTTGTTTTTCCATGTCTTTTTTTGGTTAGACTGTAAATTGTCCTGAATGTTGGTTGGAATTGGACATTGCAATATTGTCGACATTGTCAGTTTTAGGATTATATATATAAACAAACAAACATGCAGAGGAGAAAAGACAGTGACCGTGTTTAATGATGGTGGAATGTTGTCAGGGTGGTATACAGATAGATACAATATTTTGTTTGTTTGTATGCTTCATTTGTATATTGCTATCTTGTTTAACATTTGCAGATTGTTATTTGTTATACTGTCAGATAATTTGATCTGTTATGTAATGTAGGCTATTTATATGCTGTCAGTTTAACACCTATTGCACATTACCGTATGTCTATTGTCTGATAAATTATCTGGCTGTTGTATTATTTATTTGTAATTTGTGCTGTTGGCCTGTTCAACATTTGTAGCTTTTTATTGTTATTTGTTCTGTTTATAATTGTACTAATTATTGTAACACATTTATCTATTCTAAGTTTATAGATTGTCATCTTAAAGTGTATTTATTTATAGCTGCAATATGTTATTTGTTAGTGTTAGAACAGAACCAGAGTGGAGATAAAGGCAGATAAAACTTCCAAAGACTGGTATTAAGATGAATTAATGACTTGATATCTTTCTATTGTATTTTGCAGATTGGAAGGGACCACATGGAGAAAAAATGGAATCGCACACCTCAGCAATGACTGAAAATTGAATGGTCAGGAATTTATTTATTTTTTAAATCAGATGGTCAATTGCATCGATGGATGTCCTTCCAGGATGAAGGGGTGGTAGTTGGTATAGATAATTAGATTGGCCATGTCTTTGTCAGGTTTTTCTTTTTCAGGTAATGGAGAGAGAGCTGGCAGAAGAGGGGACTCACAAGAGCATCGGTGGACATTTATCCGAAAAATGCTGGAGAACAGCATGTAGGGCTTTGTTGGTGCTGTCTTTGTCTTTTGCAGGTTGGAGTAGAGCAGAAGAAGGAGTCTTACAGGGGAATGGTGGAGATATGGACCTTTTTCTTAGAATGAAAAATTACCCATTTTGCTTTGCGTGTTTGCGTAAGGAGGATGCTTCAAACTTCCGGTCGGCAGATTGATGCATATAAAGAGTCACATTTGGACAGTTTTGAAACAATAGATTTAATCTATTTTACTTGCTTTTAACATCTTTGAACTCAAACTGCTGTTAATTAGCGTCACCTTCTTGACTGATTATGCAAAAAATGCAATCTAATGGAATGGAAAACTGCTGCGAGTCATTTTCCCCTCATCATCAGATGACATCTTATGCCATTTAAATAGAGCCTCGTCATTGCTAAAGTCAACATTTTCTCTTTTTTAAACATATGACCAACCCAAACAAATGTAATACACTAAAATGTTTGACACACACATGTACTGTCCCACTAACACATTGATTAAAAGTGGCACAAAGTGAAAATAAAGTGGCATTTTGAAATGACAGAAAGACACATATCATGGTAAATATTATAATAAATACATTAAACTAATTCAATGAAAAATACATAGAATAGAATCAACATGCAAATCAGCCAGCAGTGTATCAGTAACGCACTTTTATTAGTCATTTTTAAGAAATTGACCCTTCGCTAAGCCCCGCCCTCCTTAGTTACTGTTTTTATGCCTGACATTGCCAGGGATATAATTGGTAATTTTTGGCAAACAGGTAAGATATCCGAGAAAGCCAGACAAAACAGGATTGCACTATACATTACAGGGGTATATTCACGACATAATAGGCAACAATTAGAAAATAACTGAATCAAAATTGAAGCTAGGTTAGCCTAGCCGCCTCATACGGTAACTATTCATAGTTCATGCACAGCAGGAGAGGTGAAATTAAAAAATAAACTAATAATAACAAATTAAACGCGATTTCTCTTTTTTAGCCAAAAAGCCTGGACAGTGCTGCTTCTACATAATTCATTCATAGAAAGAACAGCCAGAAAGAAAATATTGATGGATGTGTGTCAACTATTAGCATTATTGACACATAACAATTTACAACTATCACTGTCTGTACTTATGTGTGCTTTTTATACCGTTTCTATTCTAATTTGCAGTTAAGTGGAATAAATCAATAAATTAAAAAGCAAATCAAAGTATAAATAGCAGAAGTGAACAAATAGATTTTCCCTACCAGCAAATATTAATCCAACACCAAATATAATAGCAGACACTTAACCTGCTATAACATCATCACCAATGACTAAATTTCCAAAAGACTGCCGAAAACATCAGTGAACTGTAGCTCTGACATGGACATCGAGGCTGATAAATTACTCAATAACTGCTGCGGATGATGCATATTGATCGCAAGTGCTCAGATTGTGATCATGTCTCGGTTTTGTTCTGTTGATATGTAATTTCAAATGTTCGTAGTTTGAAACAGATGGAAATTTGATTGCTATTAGTATGACTTCTATGGCGAAGGCTTAAACAGAGCAGTGCTCATAATTTTAAAAAACAGCTGTGAAACATAGCCTGCTTTGTATTTTTGTAGGAAACAGTTTAGATCTGTTAAGGGTAAGGGGTATGTGAGTTATGGCCATCTATCACTGAATATGTGAGAAATATCAAAACACAACCAGCTTAACTCCGCTCCTTTAGCACTCCTCACAGAGCTTGATCCACGCTGACATTTCTCCCCTTGGGTTTTAGGTTTTGAAAATGGAAAAAAAAAATCCACCTCCCTTTCCAAACTTTAAGGATACCGGGTATCAGATTTGAAGAATCCATATGCACAACGCTTTGGCCTGTTTCCCCTCGCTCGAAAGCTTGACAGAGCTCCTACGCGCAGCTACGGTTGCTAAGCCATGATTGGTGGGTAGCGGTTTTTGGGTGTGGCTTAACGAAGGGTCAATTGCATACCTTACATATCTTAGTTCCATGCCATTAATATAGATTGCTTTAAAATGAAGTGATGCATTGCGTGTTACGTGTGTCTGTATTGAAGAGCCCACTGAGTACAGTATAACAGCTGACAGGTCAGGAACATTCATTCATTCATTTTCTTTTCGGCTTAGTCCCTTTATTAATCTGGGGTCGCCACAGCGGAATTAACCGATAACTTATCCATCACACGTTTTACGCAGTGGATGCCCTTCCAGCTGCAACCCATCTCTGAGAAACATCCATACACACTTGTTCACACTCATACACTACGGACAATTTAGCCAATCCAATTTACCTGTACTACCAGGTCGGGAACACTGATCCTATTTTTCAACATTTTATCTGACGGCAGACACTGAATTCGAAAAAAGTTTTGCATCACAAAACACTCTGGAAGCTACATAAAACAGTATTGACACCCAGTTGAGAAAGGCTGCTCTTGCTGATCACAATTCTAAAAGGAAATTCTAAGCATTTTACCCGTAAGCGCTGGTTACTATGGTGCCTTCCATGCAGCAGTGAAGGAAAAGGTCTAAACTTGAACACCTGAAGCTCAGCAAACCGGTACAACTGCTTGAAAAGACTGAACAATGGAGTTAGTTTCCAAAGAAATGTATAAAGATTAATTATATACTGGATATCTTTCTTTTTGGCAGATTGGCATAGAGCAAATGGTGAAACAGGGAAACGCTTCAATAATGAAAAGTGCATCGTAATAAATTAAGTACTGTCTTCAATTTTTAAGTTTAATCCAATTAACTTGGATTAACTGCATTGCTGGAGCCCAGCAAGCATGTAGAGCTCTGTTGGTCCTGCCTTTGTCTTTTACAGAGTGGAGTGCAGCATGTGGAGAAAAAAAGGGAAAACACCTCAGCAATGACTGGAAACCCATGGTCTGGAATATTTTTCAAAGGCAGATGGATATACAGATGTAATTTCATGAGAAAGAGGGTGGTTTTTGGAATAAGTTGTTAGGGCATACGTTGTTGTCATCTCTATTGCAGTTATTTACATTGCTGTTAATGGACACACAACAGGCCGAAGGAGACTCACATAGGAAACAGTGAAGATTTATCTGAAGAACGCTGGAGAACATTTTGTTTATTGCTGGAGTCCAGCCAGCAAGTAGAGCTCTGTTAGTCTTGTTTTGTTTTTTTCAGATTAGACTGGGGCATGTGGAGAAATGGGAATCACACCTCAGCAATGACTGCAAACTTGTAATCAGGTTAGGTATTTCCTGAATGGATGACTAAATAGATGTCCTTCCAAGAGGAAGGGGGTGGTGGTGGGCCTAGATTGTTAGATGGATGTCTTTTCTGTGGTAGGTATTTCCATTAGGTAATGGACAGAAAACAAGAGTATCGGTATTGTGCATTGCTGGAGCTCAGCCAGCAGGTAGGCCCCCGTTGGTGCTGTTTTTGTCTTTTACAGATTTAGATTAATATTTCAGTAGTCATAATGCATCTATTTAAATTATAGGAGTTTTTATTACAACAGTACGTTGGGAAAGCGTGCAGTCCCGATAGGGAGGATGCTGCGAAGGCCACCTGCTGCCCAATTGGGGAGACCTGGTGGCAAGAAGATATATGGACTTGCACTGAGAAGGGGGAGTACACATATGAGAATGAGATGGTTAGCGGTGAGGGAAGACACAGGTGTCCACCTGTGAGCGGGGACTGCATAGTGGCTGAATAAGCATATGGGATTCCAGCGGGGATTGCACACAGCGGGCACCTATACCCAGAATGCGGGCTGACCAGCGGGCATGCCAACAACGTAATGGGCCAAAGGCTGACTCCTCCGCTGAGTCAGATGCTGGGAGCCTCGGAGGAATCTCTGCAGGTTTCACCTAGCGGGAACTTACTGAAAAAGCGAGAAAGCACACGTATCTCTGTGTAAGAGAGAAAGGCGCAGGGTGTTGCAACCCTTTCACCGAATGTTTCCTTAATCACCAAGGTTTCCTAACCCCCTTGAAGAAACCGGTTCCTCTTGCAGATTATAAAATCTTGCAAATTTGTTAGGTGTCGCGCAGCCCGCAGCTCTACAGATATCTGTTAGAGAGATGCCACATGTACGTGCCCGAGAGGATGCCATGCTCTGAGTGGAGTGTTCTTGAACTCCTGTGGGACACGGCTCACCCTGGCTTTGGTAAGTAAGGGAGATGACATCCACTATCCAGTGGGCCAACCTCTGTTTTGATCTGGCAATTCCCTTCTGCTGACCACCATAACATGAGAGTAGGCCGGCCCAAATTCCAGGCACGAGTCCAGGCACACCCTCTTAATCGATGCCAACGTGACCAGCAGAGCTGTCTTCAGGGACAGAAATCTTAAAGATACTGAGTCAAGTGGTTCGAACATATCATTTTGGATTGTATATTATCTTTTTACCTAGCTGTCTATAGTCTAGGGATTTTAGAAATACGATAGTACATTGGGGAAGCGTGCCTGTCTTTGGGGAATGTGGGGAGACAAATTTGTTCACCGTTTGCTTGCTTTGCAGAGTGTGCAGGGCCAAGAATAACAAAACCACCTAAACATATACTTGACCTTTCAGTAAAGTAAAGTCTTATTCAAAGATGGTCAGAGTTAAAATGAGAACACACAGAGGTGAGTGCAAAATATGCATAAAAGCAGCACCATGGACACATACTATTCAGATGGTCTAGGGGAGGCTTCAGGTTGTCCTGAAGGGCTGTTTTCAGCCATCTCGGATTAGTTTCAATAAAGTCTATTTTTTGGCATCCATCATGGTTAATGAATGGAAACGCAGGGGTGATAGCGTTCCGGCACCACGCCGGATTTCCGGCGTACTGTGGCTGCGGGGGGGAAAAAATCAGGTTCACGGATATTGATCTGTCATTTCTCTAGATTCACAGAATTCACTCACTGCTGAAAGCGCCGGATTGGTTTTTATTAAGTGCCATTTTGTGTGCTCCTGAATCATCTTTTGAGTGTAGACGCCATGTAAATAAAAGATTAATTGTGTAATTTAGAGAGCTTTATAAATTATAACGGATCTTTGTGAGATCTCTATGAACTAAGATTAGTGACGCTTTTAGTGATAATAAGAGGAGCGTGCTGTGCACTTTCCAGGCTATAATCCATTCAGAATTTGTATGAAACTTTCGTTTTCGGCACATATACGCTGATATGTTTTGGGAATGACATCTGCATATTTACGCTGGGTTTATTCTCGAAATAACGGTGAAGAAATAGACGGGACAAAAATATATTTCCCCCTTCTCCTTAAACAACTTAGTGTTTCAGCTATGAAATAGTTCAGTTTTGTATGTATCCTTATGGCAAAGTGTTTATATTTAGTTTCGTTTTTTATTCAGCTTATTTAGAAAAACGTTTGGAGCATTTTTTATTCGTTAAAAATAAGTTTTTTTTAACGAACAGCGCCCAGCGGAAGACCATCATTGTCTGTTTGATCAGTTTGCCTTCTCAGATCATCACGACTTGCCTAAAATAAAAGATATAAAACAGTTCAAGTATAAAACAATGGTAGCTTAAACGTTAAAGAA